ACTCCCAGAATTCCCCAGCGGGAATTCTGGGAGTTGAAGTCCACACATCTTAAAGTTGCTAAGGTTGAGAAATACTGCTCCTGGGTCTCCCTACAAGGACACAGAAATCTTGTAAGACATTTACTTAGTTCCTTATTTATTGCATAGCCTCTATGCTGCTCCGATCTGTAACCAAGTGGCTTACTAAACCTCAGTTCAATAATTAAAATGAAAAACATACAATAATTTCAGAAGAAGCCAAAGGAACCAGGATCTCATTCACTCATTCCCATGACAGCTGTTCTTTGGAAGAATAGTCAATCCTCCATTCCTTCATCATGGGCCCTCCTAAACAGCCAGGCCTTTACAGTTCTCCAAAACAGTAATAATAATAATAGAAGTGAAGTTATCATCTGAAGGAGGGGGAGCTTTTCCAGAGGAAAGGGGCCACCACAAAGATGTCTGGCCTCCAGGCTTCCCAGTGATGGCATTCTCTGGGCATAGGAATCCATAGCAAATCCTTGGTTTTGACACCTCCATGAGACTTCAATCCTGTAGCTTTGTCTACAATTATATTTTAATTTAATTTAGCGGTGTGCACATTACCCACTCTCGCCGATCAGAAATTTTCAGGGGATTTATTTATTTGCCCAGCTGGGGGCCTTTCCTACCAGGTGAAGTTTTTACTCTCTTGAAACTGAAATAAAACTGAAGAGAGGCCTCCGGGATTTGTGGTGCAATTTGTCATAAATGCCACTGGAGAACAGACAGTTCACTTTGGCAAGCGAGTTATGAAATCTAGAAAGCCTTTGCCACACGGATGTTTCCTCTCCCGGCACAGCTATGACTTGTTTAGGTTAGAAAAATGATGGCTGTGAGATGGCTAAATGTCAGCTAGACATGGCTTGGAAAGCAAATTAAAGCTGATCTGAGTAGCCAGGGTGTTTGCTCAAGGAATATGAAACAGCCCCAAGGCCTTATTTATCACCAAGTACTTCATCCAAAGTTAAGCACACAGACACTTGCCACACACCACAGTAAAATGGCAAAAAGCAAAAGGAGAACAAAGCTATCACCCCTCTCTCTGTGTGTGTCTCTCTCTCTCTCTCTCTCCCTCACACACACACACACACACACACACACACCTCTCCCTAAAGGCTAGTTTCCTGTTGATAGTCTGTAATGCAGAACTCTGAACCAGCCTGGACCCTGAATTCAAATATTTGGCTGCTAAATTCAAATCAAGAAGTGGACTTCAGCCTTCTCCCTTTGCGAGTTTTGGAGATAAAACCATTCCTCCTCTCCTTTTCCTCTCAGATTGTGCTTTCTGTCCTTCCTTGAGCCTTTCCTAAACCTTCTGTACCAGGTATGAGATCTTAAAATGCACACTTAAAAAGGAATCAGACGGATAAACAGGAACTGTTCCCTATCCTGTTTTCTTTCAAATGAGTTTGGGACTACAACCTCCAGCATTCCCAGCCAGTGCCCTGGGTTGAAATGCTAGAAGACATAGTCTTGGAGACACCAGGTCCAGAGGACTGGAGTGCACTCATGAAAAGTTGAATCTGGAGCAATTCTAAAACACTTTTTATTCAACATACTTTGAGCTTTCTATTTCCTTCCCACCAGGT